TATATACATATACATATATATATATATATATATATCCGTGTGTTTGTGTGTGTAAAATGTAATTTTATGTATTAGATATGCAGTTACATGAGAATTGTATGGTATGTTTGTAAATCAGCCGGCAATTTCTTTAGATTTAACTGAAAATATCACTTCTATTATCAGACAATTTTTAGGACTTACATTTATTAGATTACTAAATCATGCGAGAGTTAAATCATACTTTTATCCAGACAATCCATAAGAAACAAAGATACTTAATCTTATTTCAATAATAATATTATGGAGCAAATTTAACAGTTAATATTATCTAACATAAATATGAAATATTGTCACGAATAAGAAAATCTAAAGAAGTTTGATTGTTCAGATTTAGATAATATATATAAAGTTTGTATTAATTCTTGTTATATTAACTAATTTGATGGGGAAGAAAAATAATTAACTTTGATATTCTCAATATAGTTGTATTAAATAAAATAGCTTGTTTTAATACTGTGTAAGATTATTTACGACCATTGAGAGTTTATAATATTGGCTTAATATGAAAATCTCATACACACAAATAAAATAAGTTAAGAATAGCTTAGAGGAGATTCAACTTCTTTTAAATGAAAACAAAGAATAGAGAAAATAACAAGCCCAACTCAATTAAAATGATTATTGAGGTGTTATCAATATTTTTTTATTAGCACGAATCAAGATGTATATTTTATAAAAAATCTTTCAAATTCAAATTCTTGTCATTCGGGCCTTGATTTCAGTAAGTTTGTAGTCAAACTCACCGCCTCAACAAGATGAACCCAATGATGTCAAAATTTGTTCAATCCTGGCTAGTCTAACAAAACGCAGATCAAATCGTTGAAGCACAATTGAAGGGTATGAATCATCAATTGAATGGTCAAATAAACGTCAAATTTAACATATTTATTGTCAAATAGAGCATCTCGACGAAAGAAATTCAATGAGCCCAAGATTGTTAAATTCTAAAGTTATTAATGCATCTAATTTTTTAATAAAATCACCTATGATCAAGGGGGATCAATATGTACCATTCAGTCGACCGGTGAAAAAAGCAAGCGCTAAAAGAACAAAATGCCCCTCCCCAAAAGGCTATAGATAGACCTCATCTATTCACTTAGGGAAGGAGGAGGAGAAATATAAGTGGAATTTCAGAGTTTATTCTGGAGGGAAGATCCGACTGGTAAACACAAGTTTTTGTAGCCTCCAACCACAATCCACAGTACGTCAACCACCTTTGACCATTATTAGCTATCAACATTCGCCTCCATTGGCCACCAACCTTCAACAATCATAGTTGTAATTGTTGTAGTCAAAATTTGGTTATTGTGCCTAACACTTATATTTATTTTGTGTTATATAAAGACAAGCATACTTTTCAGTGTAAGATCAAAATTTAGTTTCTCCTTTTCATGAGAGAAGGATGCACTCATATACTTACAAACACATAGTAGGTTACTTTGATTGGACTATGCTCTGTGTTTTTTCTCTTCCATGGTTTTTTCACATAAAAAATATTAGTGTCTCTTCGAGCTACTTTTATTTTATCTTCGTGTATGTGTGTTAGATCTTTGTGCAATGCTAAGATATTAAATTATCATTCTACCATTGTGAATCTTCTGGCATGCAATAATTATAATAATATATATTACAAGTTAAAAACAACGGTCTTCCTTGTGATTAAAAAAAACTCTAATATATTATAATAAATATAAGTTATGAAAGATGACTTTCTTGAAGAGAGTAGAAAAACTTTAAGATGTTGGAGTTATTTTTTAAGATATCATTAGTGTTCATTTGATCAGTTTCTTAAGATGATGGGAGTTTCAAGATTAAGAAGTCCTAATATTGATATTGGATTTCAAGTTTTCTGTAGGAGCGTCAGTCATACTAGTGATGGCGTACATTTACTTTGGTGCAACGGTGCACATCAATCATATTGGTGATGATGAGTGTTGAGGTTAATATAAGATAATGGGTGTTGATCGTATTGATAATGACATTTGTCGACCTGAATAATAAAGGGGAATGATGCCTTACAACCCTTAGAGGGATGAGTCAATTTTATCCTATTATATGCCTTATTCAGGTTTTCATTAGCAAAAGTAGCCTCTAGCATTTGCGGAATGCGGCTTTTCTTTTCTGGGCCGGTGAGCTTCGAACTTAAGCTCTTTCCTGTGGCAGAAAATTGCCCAGCCACGAGGCCACCATCTCATCCGCATATAATGAGTATTTAAAATTATGACTAACAAAATAACCATCAATTGCTTGGGACCATAACAAATATTATATTATGAACAAGGGTCTTTATCATGATGTTCCCGAAGACCAAGATATATTTGTCGATTACACACACACACACACACACACACACACACACACACACACATATATATATATATATATAACATTTTGGGTAAAGATGAGCTGAAAGGACAATATGCATGATTCAAACCCAAGACCTCAAGGTGGGAAACTACAAGTGCAACCACTATATTGCATGTAAGCGCGTAAAATTAAAAATACAGAATAAAAGTGAATTAACTGATTTTATTTTATATTAATTATTTCCACTTCAAATCCATCTTGTAAAAATATAAAAATAGGGGCTCTTCTTGCAATCTCCAATTTATTGCATGAATGAGAGATGTTGAAATTACACTCCCTAAATAAAACAAATAGATCTTGCAAATGGTCAGACACATTCCTGAGCTGAAGAAGAATCTAACTTATATTGGGCAGCTCGATGAGGGTGATCATTCAATAGTATTCTCAGATAACACTTGAAAGGTTACTAAATGAGCATTGGTACTAGTTCGCGATAAAAAGACTGATGAGCTATATATGAATACTGATTTAATTAACAATGTTGATACTACAGTTGCAGAAAACACAACAGACATGTGACATGCAGACTTGGACACATGAGTCAGAGAGGTATGAAAGAGTTTCAGTCCAGAGACAAGCTCCTAGAACTGAAGTAAGTTGATCTCGGCATGTGTGAAATTTGCATTATGGGGAAACAGAAGAATGTTAGTTTCTTGAAAGTTGGCAGGACATCAAAGGTAGGAAAATTAGAACTTGTACACATCGATGTGTGGGGATCTTCTCCAGTTACATTTCTTTGAGACTCTCGCTACTACCTCACATTCATAGATGACCACAACAGAAATGTATGGGTTTATTTTTTGAAGCATAAATCTGATGTATTTAATATGTTCAAAACTTAGAAGACCATAGTTGAGATAGAGATAGATCTAAAACTGAAATGTTTGAGGTTTGACAATGGTGGTGAGTACATCGATGGTGGGTTCAAAGAGTACTGTGCAACTCAGGACATCAGAATGGAGAATCATTCTGGAGACACCACATCAAAATGGAGTTGCAGAGCGTATGAACAATACTATCAATGAGCGTGCCAGGAGCATGAGCTTGCACGCCGAACTACCTCCAACTTTCTGGGCAGATGCTATCAACACTACAGTTTACTTGATCAATAATTAATTGCTACTTTAAAAAACATAAGCGTTTGGCCTAATGTCATTAGAATTGAATGCTCTGACTTGTATCTAGTTTGCTAAGAAGCAATTGCTCATCTTCTTTGTTGAATTCATTGGCTTGGAACCCTAAATTATAATACAGTTTTTATTTGCATTAATGATTGACAGAACTATTTTAGTATCATTTTACTGAGTTTAATTGATTTTCAGTTGTTGATGGCACCAAAGCAATCTCAAATTATGCCTCATTAGCTATCGAGTTTGTATCATATTTCAGTCCCATCTCTCAGCTGTCGCTGTGCTGATTGAATATTTGGAATGAGTTGCCTTTGTATGCCACATGATTATTCATCATGAGGGAAATGGTTTATACTTTCCATACAATTTCACTCAGATCTGTTAAATTATAACAACTTGAATCAGATTTTCATAAGTAATGCTTCATACACCTAATATTTTATAAGTACATTTCAAATTGTGCTCCGCCTATTTTGCTAAAGTGAAAATCCCAAGTACAATAAATCAATTGATATTAATTATGGCCAATGCAATTATCCTCCAACAAATAATATTATTCTTATTAATTATATCAACAATTATTTATGACTGATTATATTAAGAAAAGAAATACTTCAATTACTATGCATGTAATTACTCCAAACTTCTAATCTCCTTAATACATATCCCATCATCCCATTCATTGCAAATGGCAAAACCAAAGCCATGAGACTAGTTGGGATCCTTGGCATTATCGCATAACATTACCTATTGGTTTTTTCTATTTTTTATTTTTTAAAAATTATGTTTCATCTTGAAATAAAGTATGTTTGAAAATGCTAGTTATTTTGTAAAGTATTCAAAACATCTAAATATTAATTTGAGCATTTAACAAAAATAAATTAATTATTATAAAAATAAAAAATGAAAAATACTTTAAAACTTCTTTGAATAAATACATTTTTAATGAAAGAAGTAAGAGCAATATTTACTTACATAACACTGAAAAAAATGATCCCAAGAAAGCTCTAAAGGGTGATTAGGAACACTTTTGCTTTTTATTCTTTATTTTAGCTTTACTTATTTATTTTTAATTTAAAATAAAATATTTTTGATAATTATAATTATTTTTAAAAATACTAAAAATTTAACTTATTAAAAAATAAAATTAAAAAAATACATTAAACAAATATGCTCCTAAAAATAAAAGTAAAAAAATATCTCACAGTAAACTTCCTTTCTAAAAACTCTAACAAAAGAAAAAGAAAAGTATACTAATTCTTAATCCAGGAAAAAAGAGTGATGGCATAAGCTAATAACAATCCATCATCATACAAACATCAAATTAAATATAAAATGTTCTGAATTCAGATCAGCAATCTAACTCCATTTTGAACACAAACTTGTTAAATAGTAAAACAATGTTTTCCCCATAACATCATAAGAGACAAGTTGGCTGCTTTTTATTACTATAGACAAAAGCCATCAAGACAAACTCTTAAAGAAAAGAAAACCAAACTTCTTGTACTACCAACTGCTCATGCAACGCCATTCTCTCCCTCATGTAACAACAGTTGATCAAAGTGCCAAACTCCATGTCCCTTGCCAACCCTTTTTAGCTGAGCAACATACTCCGATATCTTCTTTATGGCCTCAACCTAGCCAGTAAATATATCAAAAAGGAAGAAAATTTTAGGTTTATGCAAATTGATGATTTAATATAAATTTAAGTAGAAACATGAAAATATCTTGCTGTTATTTATAATTGCCAATTTATCACAACAACATAAAAAAAGAAAGTTAAGAGTAGGAGTGTAACTGAGCCAAGCAAAGTCGGCTCAGCTTGATAGGTTGCTTTAGAGGTTTATCATGAAAAAAACTTTCAGTAAATCATCTGCAACAAAACAAATTCAAAAAAGCCACACAAAAATGGTAAGAAAAAAATTTACGATAAAATATTACGCAGAAACATTTAAAATTGTTTTCTATCATAGTCATATTCAGAATTGTTAATTAACACAAGATCATGAAAGAGATGCAAAGAGTGTATGATTGTTGATGCAGATGACTAGATGGGAGTAGATTTTTCAGGTAGCGAAACATTGAACTTTCTTAATGTTAGGTTGGTTGATTTAGAGATTATTATAAAAAGGAAGAATTTCATACATACATACCAATCAATTCTTATTTATTTACACATCTAACACCTAAACTTCGAATTGTACATAGATGCCACCTTACTTATGCATTAAAGGTGTATTTTGACTTTTTAAAAGTTAAAATGGTGATATTTTTTATGTTATATGTGAGATTTGGGGTTTATAAATGTAAAATGCAAAGTTTAAATTTTAGTAAATATGTAGGAATTGGGTGGTATGAGTATGTAAGCAAATAAATGAAGAAAAGAAAAGAAAAGAAAAGAGAAGCTTCACCTGCTCTTCAAGGAACTCGTCCTCAATGAACTGTGTTGTGTTAGGGTCATTGCAACGTGCTGCTACCTGTTCATCGTTATCATCTACGTCACTATAAAATTCATTATCTTAAATTAAATTAAATTAACACACACACACACACACACACACACACACACACACACACAGATATATAAGGATACTCACACTGTGTAGATAAAGGAGCTTCTCATTTACAAGCCTCTCAAGGGACAACGCCAACTCCATCAACGCCAACTCCATCGCTACAGCCAAGGAAAGATGATGTCAGCATTAGAGTACATGAACAACAGTTTAAAGGCATAATCATATAAGAAAAAAAATTAAGAACAACCGTTTATTTTTAAAAAAATGAAAAAGAAAAAAAAGAAGGAATCAATTAATAATTATATCAAACCAAATGATTACTTTTAAAGGCATTTGAGTGTGATTGTAGAGTTAAAAAATTCATATTGTTTTCTAACAAATGATTACTTTTAAAGGCATTTGAGTGTGATTGTAGAGTTCAAAAATTCATATTGTTTTCTAATTACATCAAACCAAATGATAGAATTTTAAAAAATACCCATTTTAAAAACATATTTTCTAGCTTCAAGCACCTAATGCTTATTTATGTTGTCTATAATTCTTCAATATACATGTACATCAAAAATATGTCAGCATGAATCGTTAAGAGATCTGACGACAGACAAAATGATGACGTGGCGGACCAGGACCTACCATAAGCAATTTAAGGGCCATGGTCTATCCAATCGACATCTGCAAGCCAGGAGAAAATTAATCCAAAGACAAGTAGAATTTAGCCGCCTCCTATAAAGTCTATTGATGCAAAGCTGACACAGAGGGATCCACCGACATTCTTTGACCAAGCTGAAGGGACAATGAAAATCGTCCAAATCTAAAGCATCTGATCCGGGGTCTCACGATCCATCGTTCGATCATAGCCACCCTAAGAAAATAGCCCAGCCAGTCGCTCTCTTAGACTCCTGGCACATGGCTGCCCGGCCCAGAATATGGTAGAATGGCTTCCCCGACTCCAGGCCTGGGCAGGCCGAATGCCACTTCAAGCTCTTGGCCCTAAAGTCATGTACAGAACAAAAAGCTCCCAACAAATCTTTTCAAAATGTAATTAAACCTCCCTTATTTCTGTTAATAAGGTTCATTTTATGAATAAATGTTATGAGATTTTACTGTTCATTACCAAGCTCTTTGCTCTCTTTCACGCTTTATTCCTTAGGCGTGTCTCTCAGACAATTTTGGATTCAGTATACTAAAAGATGCGGTGGCCATGGAGTCATGTCATCGACAAAAAGAGCAGAGCAATGATCATAAGGAGAAGAGAGTCGTCAAAGAGAAGTGGCCAATGCAGAGCACGCTAGAGAAGATATGGAAAAATGCATGCAACAAGGAATGCAAGAGTTAAGGACCCATATAAGGATCAGGTGTCAGGCTAGATCACTGAGGTTGTGAGAGCTCTCGTGGCCATGGCAGAAGAGCTAGTCTCTTAGAGGAAGAACCCTCCTTAGGAGGTGGCTCTAGCACACAATGACACAAGGTTGAACAACGACCTCGAGAGGGTCGAAGAATAACAATACCAAAATAGTGTTGGGTCAGCGAAAGTGGAGAGGTAGCAATTTAGACACACTGAGGCACTACGTCAGCTAGAGAATCCCTTCTCTCTCCATATCTCAGGAGTTGAACCCCAGAAGAACTTTAAGCTCCCTCAGTTAGAGGCATTTTAAGGACGGTTGGATCCCAATAACCACATCTCCTCGTCCAAATTTGTGACATGCTTGCTGAAGGTTTCACACACATTTAAATGTCAATTGTTCTTCACCACCTTGATGTCGTCAGCCTTGAAATGGTTCAACTTGCTCTTGGCTAGGAGTATGAGTAGTTTTTCTGTCTTCTGAAAGTTTTTCTTGATGCAGTTTGTAAGCGTTTGATATATCCTCAAGCTTGCTTAATTCTCTTTATCTTTTGAACTTGTTTATGGATGAAATTGCACTTTAAAGAAAGATATATTAGTGTTTTTTGTGCAGGTATAACAAATAGGACATATGTAGCGAATCGAAGCTAAAAGGGAGCGAAACGATCATATTGGAACCAGCAGACTGACGCCTAGGCTCCAGACTTTGGGTGGCAAGGTGCTCCACGTAAATGCCTTAGCACCAGCTTGTTGGGTGACAAGATGCCAATAACCACCCAGAAAAACCGAGAGGCCGACGCCTAGTGCTAAGGTGCTGGCCAATTCTTGGGCAGTTTTCTGCAGTTGTTGAGCACGACTTGGGAAGTTATGGGGTCGATTTAACCAGTTATATGGAGGATGGAAGAGCATCCTGAAGCCCTTGCAAGTGAAGTAAGGCAAAGTAGTTGTATTGTAGATTTAGAGTTTGGTAGTTTCCACTTAATTAGAGAGATTGGAGAGGATTTGAGAGAATTTTCTAAGGGGATATACTCAGCTTTGAAAGGAGCACTTGGAAGCCTTTTGAGAAGGAATTTTCATCTATTTTCTCAAGGAAAAAATTATGTATTTTTTTCTTTATTGTTTGTACTATTTGTAAACACAATTCTAGTAGATTTGCTTTGTTATAAGATGATGATTTATAATGTTTTCTCTATGCATTATGAGCAGATTTTTCTTACCTTTCTCTTGTGGTGAATAAGTTGAATGTGTAGAATTTAAGATGCTTATAGAGTTGCTATATAAAAATTAATGTGATGAGTGTTCTCTGGCCATATGAACTATTAAAATTTGGTGTGATCCATTATGCCTCGGAAGAGTGATGGAGGAATGATTAGAGTATTCACTGTGGGTGAAGAAAAAGTAGTACATATGGTGATGCAAATAGATAGAGAAATAGACTTTGATGAGTTCAAATTGAGATTTAAGGAATTAAAATCAGTTCAACAAAAGTACTTCATGCATTTGGTAGAGGGTAAAGTAGATGATTACTCCTATTTTTGACTAGCCATATTTTCAATTCGAAGTATCTACTCCTACACAATCACTTATACCATCACAAGAGATGGGTTACTTTTATATCTCGATAATCATCAATTAAATTAAGTTAAGTATGTTTTAATATTAAAATTAATTGAAGTAGAGAGTAGTTAGTAGAACATTCACCCAATTACAATTCTAAACTAAAAACTTAAAGTAGTAGACTAGAACTTTTCTTAAAGTATTTCATTATCTCATTCTCTGTGGGATCGACAATCCAGAATCAATAGAGTTTTATATTATTGAAACGATGCATAAACATGTGTGAGAAACTCTAGTGTGCAAGAACACCAAATTTTAGGAATTTAATCTAGTTGCTAGGGAGCAGATCAAGTTTTCTGTTGCCATTACCAAGACTTACAATATTATGATAATAGTTCGAGTTGAGCAAGTTTCTGGTGTTATTGTCGAGGAACGACAGTGAAGAACTTTAGGAGAATTTTATTTGAATCAATTTGACTTAGATTTGGAAAATCATATTCTAGTTTCATCTTGTAAGTTTTTGTTTTAAAATAAGGAAAAGAAAAGAAAAGTTATTTTTGAGTATTTATCAAAAGTATTTGTGTTAATCTTACTAGTTGAACTTTTAGTTGTGTATGCGTAGTGCAGGACCTGCAGGACTTGTACCCTATGATTCATCACTAGAGAGGACTATTAGAAAATATAGAAAATAGAAAAGACTTCATGAAATTGTAGAAGAAATATCAAATATTCAACAGAATAATTTTGATAACCAAATTCTAATTAATGAACATCATAACACACATAGACCATTAAGTGATTACACTAATCCTACGATAGATAAAATTCATTTAAGTATTTAAACTTCTATTGTAGAAGCTAACACATTTGAATTGTAACATGTTATTATCCAAATTGTGCAAAACAATCAACTTGGAGGAACTCCGTCTGAGGATTCAAATTTACACTTTGCAAGTTTTCTAGAACTTTGCGCTACATTTTGTTATAACGACATGTCAAACGACACTGTTAGACTTACACTATTTCTTTTTTCTCTGAGGGATAAAGCTAAAAAGTGGTTAAACTCATTGGCATATGGATCAATTAGGACTTGGGGTGACTTAGCCCAAAAATTCCTTGCTAAGTATTTCTCACTTTCAAAAACTGTTAAACATAGGAAAGATATTACTTCATTTCGTCAGTATGAAGGTAAGTCGATATATGAAGTGTGGGAGAGATTCAAGGAACTTCTTAAGAAGTGCTCACATACACTCTACCCGATTGGTTAATAATTTAAACTTTTTACAATAGTTTAGAAGGATCCCTCTGATCTATTATTAATGCTATTGTTGGTTGTTCACTCATGTCAAATCCATTTGATGAGGCTTACCCTTTGATTGAAGCAATGACTACAGACAATTTTTAATGGCCTTCTGAAGGGTAAACTTTAGAAAGGTAGCTAGTGTGCAAGATACTAACATGTTTTCATTTTTACTTCTAAGGTAGCGCCAATATCAAGTAAGTTAGATCAACTTGGAATAAAACAACCTCAAGCACCTCCAGTAATTGAAGATAATTCGTATGGACAAATGGTTGATTCTAGAACTTCATCATTTGAGACCTTAAATGCATATAATAATAGACCTAACAACCCTATTCAAACTTTTATAACTCAGGTTGGAAGAATCATCCTAATTTTAACTAAAATAATAATTCTAATAGGGAAAACCAACAATGGGGTATTAATCCGAAAAATCACTTATGAAATTAGAATAATAATGGTAGTATTAACTTTAGACCTTCTTATTCATCAGGATTTAAAAATAATACACAATTTAAGGTGAAGAAGTTGTCTTTGAAGGATGTTGTATTGCAAAAGGGGAATCAACAGTAAAGTCAAGGTAAAACTATAAGGAATACAAAGAATCAACTGAGATAAATTAGAAACTCACTTAGCAATAGGACCTAAGGAACTCTTCTTAGCAACATTGAGATAAACTTTAAGAAGAAGAATAGTGTGCATGTTAAATTTGTCCAATTAAGAAGTGAAAGAGAGTTTGAGGATGTTGTTCGAAAAGAGATTAAAGTTGAAAAGGAGACTGTGGAAACTGAAAAACCATGGAAACTAAAAACCTGAGGAAAATGTTTTTAAGGAATTAGAAAAACTAATCTCTGCAACTAAGATTAACTTAAAAATACCACCACCTTCATTACCTCAAAGACATAGACAGTAGAAGATGGATCAACAATTTTCAAAATTTTTAGAAGTATTTAAGTT